AAAACTCCTCATGAACAAATTTATATAAATTAAATAAGATATTTTCTTATAATTAAAATATATTTCGTAACTTTTTTTTGGATAATCGAAAATTTTATTACCCAAAAGAAGCATAAAAAAATTGTTACATTAAAACAACCATATCAATCAAAAAGAAAAATTCTAAACAAAAGAAAAAAATACCGCCCATCAAGTTAGAGTAGCACCAACCCTACAAACTAATTTAAACTATACCTCAATCCCTGCGCAACCTGTCATTTAGCCCCCTCTTAATGGAAACCCCCATAAATCCCAATCAAACCTCCTCTCTTATGTCATTCATGAAGTCAGTGATACATCTATGTGCACCTCCAAACACGCTCTAATTCATTTCCTTTCAAATATAGCTAATGTAAGCTCCCCAAGTGACCCTAAATAGAACCGATAAGAAGGTCATACCCCTAAACTTAGATCCCGCCCAAGCCAGCTCCTAGATCCAAGTACCCACTCTCTTAGCCAACCCACACAACCTCAAAATGCAAATCCAAATCCCCTTCGAGTAACCACATTCAAAAAAACAAATGGTTCCTCATTTCAACCCATTCTCACAAAAACAACACCCCTCCCACCTCCATTCCCCATCTCAACAACCTATCACTAGTTGGTAACCTATCTAGTAAAGAAAACTAAGTAATAATAGTGTTCCTTGAAATAGAAAGGGGAAACCAAATGATGCTAGTTAGCTGACCTTAGTTTGCCTCCTTCTAATCTGCTTCCACACTTCTTTTATATTATAGTCCCCTTGAAGCCTCTAAGTGCTAGTAGAGGGATTTACAAACCACGTCGTTATTCTTCTTAATTTTATTAGCTTCCTCCAGAACCAACTACCCGCTTTGAGGATAAATTCCATGAATGAGCACCCCTTTAACACACAAGTATCAGCCCATATTTGCCATAAAGTGTCTGAGTTAACCACCAAAGCCCAAACAGTCGTATCATACTACCATAATTTCATGTATCTAGTTCCCGAAAACCCATCCCACCCTCCATCTTAGGCTTACAAATCATCTCTCAGCTAACATGTGCACCCTTAGCTTGCTGATCACCCCCATTCTAAAAAAAAAATGAGAGCATAGTTGAGCCAATCTTCTCAGGACCTCCTTAGGAAGCACAAAATGCCTCCCCCGATAAGCTTGGATGTTATACATCACACTCTGAATGAGCTGTAATCTGCCTATATACGAAGGGAATTTCGAGGACCACCCCAACTCTAGAAGCCACCTTATCCACCAGAGGAGCGTAATCTTTTTCAGTGAGACACTTAGTGACCAAAGGAACGTCGAGATACCACACTGAGAGGTGCCCCACTTTGAATCCCGTGATCTCTCCCATAATGCACACCTCCTTGCTCACTCCAGATGAAAACACAAATGACTTAACATGATTTAGCTACAGCCTAGAGTACTTATAGAATTGTTGCATCACACATATAATACCAACTATCGAATCTATTGTTCCCTTCGAAAAAAATCAACAAATCATCTGCAAAGCTCATATGTGTGAGGCCAACCCTTTTACTCTTAGAATGAAACTAGAAAACTCCCCTCGAAGCAGCCACATCCAACATTTTAGAGAGAACACTCATAATTAAAACAAGAGAAAATAACTTCAGTGACCGAAAATGCTTTATAATATGCGATTTTAACCAACTTGTTTTTGGATTTGCAAAAATAACCAACAAAATCGCAACGCGAACTCCTATTTCGCAACATAGTTTCCAAATTCGCAACGCGAACATGAAAATTTTCGCAACGCGAATTTCACAAATTGAATTCGCCAATTTAGAAACTTAATTACCGATATAGGTGAACACGGTAGAAAAAATCGGGTAAAAAAATCCGAATTCGATAATTTGAAAACTGTGTTGCGAATTTGGCAAATTCGTGTTACGAAATGTCAAATCTCGCCTCTTAAAGAAAAAATTAAAGGACATAAAATGCACTGGAGTGGTTTTCAACCTGGGACATCCCAGTTGCTAAGTCCACGTATGAATCACTCAGCTAAACCTACACCTGTAAATGAATTGAACAAACACGAACAAGTGTATGTTCATGTTCGTTCGTTCGTTTAACTTTAACCAAACAAACGAACTGTCGAAATGATTTTTTCTTTAAGAGGCAAGATTTTACATTTCGCAACACGAATTTGCCAAATTTGCAACTCAGTTTTCAAATTGGCGAATTCGGATTTTTGATCGGATGTTTTCTACCTTGTTTACCTATATCGGTAATTAAGTTGCGAAATTGGCGATAGTTGTGTTTACCTATATCGGTAATTAGCGTTGTGAATTTGAAAATCACGTTGTAAATTTGAAAATCGCGTTGCGAATTTGGAAACTGTGTTGCAAAATTGGAGTTCGCGTTGCGAATTTGTTGGTTATTTTCGCAAATCCAAAAAAAGTTAGTTAAAATCGTATATTATAAGGCATTTTCGGTCACTTAAGTTATTTTATCTTAAAACAAAGAGGTACCTCATCCCCTAGCCCTTTGAAAGAAACCCTAGAGCCCCCATTTATAGCCATAGAGAACTTTGAAATCCCAATACACCCTCTGATCCATTCTGTAAAAAATTGTTAGAAAACCATACGCCTCAAGGACACATAATATGAAATCTCAATGTAAAGAATCGAAGGCTTTCCTCAAGTCCACCTTAACAACAAATCAACTGGACAAAGTCTTCCTGTCATAGCCCTTTACAAGCTCATGGGCCAAGAGAATATTATCAATAATTATTTTACTATCTATGGGAATTAATCTTTTAAAATTTGTAATAGTTATTTTAATAATATTGTGTACAAAGTTGAATCTAAAAGATCAAAATGATTTTGATCCTTTGAGTATTTGCTTAAAGGAGGTAAAAGGAAAGTTGAGTAACTCAACAAAACAACTCCATATGATATATATATATATATATATATCATATTTTTCCACTTAAAACCCTAATTTCCTCACAAAGAAACATCTATATGGCTTTATAATGGATCATTGTTAAAATTAGGGATGGCAACTCAACCAGAACCCGACGGGTTCCGATCCGACCTGATCAGGTCGGATTTAAAAAAAAAATCGGGTTCGGGTCGGATTTAGGGTGGAACAAATCTGACCCGACCCGAAAAATATATATAATTTTACCCTATATATTTAGAGATAATTACAATAATACCCCTCTATATATAATTTTTTTCAATTAAGTCATTATTTTTATTGAATAAAAATATTTTTTTTATTTCGGGTCGGGTCGGGTCGGTTTCTAAGTCATATATTCGGGTCAGGTCGAGTGAAATCTTATTTTGTCGGGTCGGGTCACGGGTGGATGACCATTTCTTCTCGGGTCGGGTGGCCTAAAAACCTGACCCGACCCATTGCCATCCCTAGTTAAAACTTAGTATTTCATGAATATTTATCATTCTACGTTATTACTGAGAATAGAAATCAACCTAACTTACTCATATATCATTATCATATTATTTTTTATATTTTCCCTCAGGTTGGAGCTCAAAAATATCTTCAGATTTTAACTTGGAAATCAAGTATTTATGCTGTTGACTACCCAAAACCTTGATCATGACATCAACTATCAGTTATGTTGTTGTAACATATTCAACTTGCATGATCTTTTCTTGAATTTTTCACTTAGAAAGTGATAATATGTTCCTACGTGTTTAGTTTTCTCTGAATTTATAATAATATGTATAGTTGTCTTACTATCACATTTCAATTTTGTCGGCTGCACAGAAGGGACACCAGGCTCTGCAAGTTATGGATCCACACATATTTCCATTATCACGTTCACAATTTAAAATTATATAATTATAATATTATAAATACACAATTTATAAATGAGGTATGATATAAAATTAATTAGGCAAAATGAAATTATTGTTGTAGTGAAGGTTAAAGTTGCCATCTCCTGTCAACGACTTTACAGAAATCCTTATCTCTTGTCAGCAATTTTCTCACCTTTTTTTTTCTTTCTTTCTTTCAAATTTTGTACTTACAAGATTCAATGAACATTAAAAACTAGATTAAAGTTGTTGATAGGACACAAATATTTTGTGTAAATTACGCGTTTAATACCTAAATTATTAGTTTCGATCTATTTTAATATCTAAACTTTCATTTTTTTAAACCACACTTAAAATTTAGTTTTTGTTTCATTATAGTATCTGCTATTAAAAACTTTAGTTTTTGTTTCGTTTTAATATCCCTTTTAGATTTAACGATAAGTTTTGAAAAATTTGAAAGTTTAGGTATTAAAATGGATCAAAATTGATAGTTAATGTACTAAACGTGTTACGCTTTTAACGGTGAGTACTAAAATGAAATAAAAATTAAACGTTAGGCATGATTTTGAAAACGTTGAAAGTTTAATTACTAAAATAGACCATTTAGATACTAAATGCATAGTTCACTCAAAACTTTTACATTGTTGTGGGCAAAAGGTGAGGACTCCAACCTTTATTAAACCAATGATCCTATTCTCCTAATTAATTCTAAACCAACCTCATTTCTCAAGTTTTTTTAAGAAGATTTGGCCATATATTATCGGATTTACCTCCACAAAAAATTTCAACTATTTTTTTTATTATAAAATACTATTATAATTTATTATTATTATTATAAATATTTATTTTAATTAATTGTCTAATTTAATTTGTTCTACTTAATATTAATAATATTGTTAAAAAAAAGTATTGATTTGAAAGATGTTAAAGATTATAGAACACGTTAGATTTAATGAACACTTGGATCATGATGAAGAGCTAAAATTAAACAGTTAAGATTTATGATTAATTAATTATTTAGTTGAATGAACCAATTAGGCATACTCCAAAATTATAATTTAATCTAATTTAAAATAGATTGAATTAGTCATATTTTGACAGCGTTTATCAACAACTATTTTCATCTATATATACACTCACCATTTCATGCAAGGCTATAATCAAACCCTTCCTTCTTTCCATCACTTTTCCTTCTTCAAACAGGGAAGAAAGTAGTCTGAGGGTGTTGTCTGAGTGACCTTCATGAGAGTTCCTAGGGATCGGGTATACCGGCTCGAGCTGTTGTTCAAGCATACCGTCAAGCACTCTCAAGTTAGTTCAGTATTACACTACTTTTTTTTTAGAATAGGGTTTTATTGTTGTTGTTGCTAAACTCGCCGTGAGCAACGAGGCAATTAGTAATGTTTTTATAGTGGCAGCTGTTTTGTGTGCTTCATATCATATGTATCAATCTTTTGAATGTAAGTTCATCGCAGATGCTGCAAAATCCGGTGTTACACATGAGACACTACAAAATGGAGCTGGTAGAGTCATGACGGAGCATGAAGCTAGGCAGATTCTTGGTGTAAGCGAGGATGCCACTTGGGAGGAGATAACGAAGGCTAGTATTTTAAGCATCTCTTTTTGTTTTCCCTTTCAGTTGCTTTCATCTCGAATAACCTTTAAACCTTCTTACACTACTTTATTGCAGAAGTATGACCATTTATTCGAGAAGAAGGCCAAGGTTGGGAACTTCTACCTTCAGTCAAAGGCTCATCGGGCTAAGGAGTGCTCAGAAGCCTCCCATCGAGCCAAAGGAGAGGGCAGTCCTACTAGTTGAAAATCCGTCCAGGTTTACTCGTTTCACATACAGATCCCCATTTATAAACTAATTCCGACTCGAATATTACAACTATATACACCATCCTATCCTGCTGCCCATTCTTGCAGTTCAAACTATTCATTCAAATTTTTGTCCACGATGTTATATAGTCGAGTGGTTGAATCTAATAATTAAGTTTTCGTTCCGGCAATATGTCGTCGCCGGTGACTAACTTGTTACGCTGTTACAGTTACGTTGTAGTTTAGTTGAAACTTGAGGCACTGAAAAAAATATGTAAGAAACTGTATGTAAAGAATACCAAGATGTTCTTGTAAAATCCAAGCCTTATTTTGATGTTATACTGTGGTTCTATAAGTTTGAATTTGTTCCAACATGTTTTTCGAAACTTAAGAATTCTAGGGAAGCTTGAAAGTAAGGTATGGATCTGCCGGCGTTCCACTTGCCACCTCTGTGATCGCATCCACAATTTTCCGATATAACCAAAAACTACTTGTGAAGAAAGTTGAATTATTAAATGCAAATGCGTCGACATTTAGAATTCAAGTTTCAAATCGGTCGGAATTCGAGTTTGCCATTTTTCTACCATTTTATATTTTGCATTCACTAGCAGCAGATTAACCAAAGATAGGAGGAAGTTCCGATTTAGAACTAACACTCCTCGATTTCAGGCCTAACAAGTCAATGAATCAAATATCGAATAACGTCAAAGACTTACCTTCAACTTTTGAGTCGTGAAAAGCTCGACTACAATGGGGTTTCATTCGAGAAAGACTTGAATTCTGTCACCCATTGTATCGTTAAAATCCAACAACAGCTTCCCACCAACTTCTTCGGCAGCATCGTCCAACAATTCCTTGATGTTTATGCCCCCCAAAGCTGTCAAGAAAGGAAATCAAACTCTTTGCAGTTAAATATTCAAGAAACATGGTCACGGTAGATTAAGTTCGTAAAACAGTAACATACCCGGAACGATATTTGTTATTCCTTCCAAAAACCCGGCCTGAGGAAAAACCGAATGAATTATTTAAACGGTAGAAGAATATCTTCACAATGGATTTTCGCTAAAGAGTTCAAGCAAACTAAACGGCTGGACCAGACTATCAAATCCATATCACGTATTAAACACCCGAATGAATTTCGACAATAGAAGCAGCACTTACCAGAAATTAGGATTGGCATACGGGCATGTTCAGTTAATGAAATGATAAGCTACCTAATTAATAAGGCACCTTCGCTTGAAGCAGAAGACTTACAGGAACTCTAACGTCCAGTCTCTCGATTCCATCTCTTCCAGTAATCTTGATTCTCAATGTCCGAGACCAGATCCTAGCAAAAGGATCCCTTGAACCATCTGCACGATAGTTACTGTATACATCAGGAGTTATCACCTCGACAACCGGATCTTGAGGACTTTGACCTCTTTGTTCCGACTCATCTCGAACCCTTTCTATACTGTATGCATTACTGCTCACTGAACATAAACCGTGATTATAGGATTAGGAAGACAAGGCAACAATATTTCATTATTCTCCAGAAAAACTAAGGGTTTAATTTGGGAGTCGGAGTTGGCAATGTCAGCAACTTATAGTAACAAAGAAGGCAGGACAAATACAAAATTTTCCAATATCCAAAAATATGGAAAAAATTGAAAACTCCCATGCCGAGCACATACCCCATAACCGACACTCGCACCAAGTCTGAGTAACATAGGTTTTAAGTTCAGTTTGGACCTTAAGAGTATTAAATCTCACCCACCTCCGTCTCCAGATAGCCGATAATTGCTGGCAGCATATCTTTTTTCTTCCTCATAGTATTTATTGAAACCTAAGATTTCCTTGATTTCTTCGAAAGATGGCATGCTCCCCGGAGGCGGAATACGACCGCCTTTGAGGGCAGTAAGCGAATCCTGCAAATTTGAGGAGGTTGGCTTTTGAGAAGCAACATCGTCTTAACAAATGAATCATAAGAGAATGAAGTATCTCTCATAAGAAGGTTATGTGCGCTTTTGTACACATGAACAAAGTGAAGATACATAACCTGCATTGCTTGGATAGATACTCCAATCAAGGAGAGCGGATATGCCACAAGTTTATATCCGATTTCTTCAAGTTCAAGCGGAGTGAGTATCGGTGTTTTCCCCCCACCTTCAAGCATGTTAGCCTACAAAGGAGTGCAAAAGCTGCATCGGTTCTCATTCGGAAGGTTCTATGCTAGAACAATTACCCTCCAAATTCATATTGGAAAGCCTATAGAGATGTTAAACGTTTACGCAACAAAAGAAAACCGATGGCCTACCACCGGATAAAGTTATGTTTCCTCGGTGTTCTATTTATCATGCAATAAACTGGGTATATAATCATGTACATAGGCAAACGATACTTATTACTTTGTATAGTTTCAAAAGAACATGCGATACCATTTTTGGAACTAACGGAGAAACTTCACAAAATGCTTTCATCTCTTCTTTAGAAGATAGTGCATCAATGAAAAGGACATCTGCTCCGGAATCGGCAAAAGCCCTTGATCTCCAGAGTGACTCCTCTAAAGACAGTGCTTGACGAGAATCTGTCCGTGCCACAATAACAATGTCCGAACCACTCTCTTTGCGAGCGTCAACCGCTGCTTTAATTCTCATAATGGCTTCCTCTCTGGACACCACCTTCCTGCCTTGTGTGTGACCACAAGCTTTCGGAGACACCTAACAGTAAAATTTTACAAATCCCGAGCCTCAAATATGAACTAAACCAAATAAACCATTGTTTACGGAGCTGCAGTGTTCGTGTAATGTCAATACAGCAACAAAAATATTTGAAAAGATGATTTTATTTTGCTCAGAACATGTACCTGATCTTCGAGAATGATCCCGGCAAAGCCAGCTCTTATATATCCTTTAACAGTTCTCTTCACATTCATCGCATTACCATATCCATTATCGCCATCTCCAATAACAGGAATCGACACGGCCTGGGTGATTTGTTGTCCCTGATCAACCATTTCTCCATAGGAAATAAATCCCGTGTCCGGTAATCCCAGGCGAGCAGCAGAAATGGAAAATCCTAACGACGGCAGCAAAGGACGTTAATGCACAAAGCATCTTGAGACAGTTGAGCAACAAGATAGCGAAAATCGTTTAAACAAATACATCTGTGTAATAATACACATTTCAGATTTTGATTCTGGAAAATGGAAATGGATCAAGCTGGAAGGGGCAGATTCAAAGAAACAAAAATAGTAGTGTTCTACAATGAAACCAACATGTGGTAAGACATGTGGTAAGACATGTGGTAAGAACGAAAGGACCAAAATTGCGGTAATTACTAAGTTTTTACTATAAAAACCCACTGAATTCATATATGGTCCTCAAATTAAGTCCAATTAAGCTAATATCTGGATTTTGGAAGTCAAAGGAAACAAAAGAACTAGCTTTAATGAAATGGTCAGTTAGTAATTTGAATTTAAAAAAAATGTAATTTATCAATAAGAAATTTGTACTTAATTGAACTACGAGAACATTTTTCTTAAAAAAAACAATTTTAAAGAGAAACCTTAACCATAGAAGCTCAAGTAGTTATCAACCTAAAAGCAAAGAACAAGTTTTGGGATTATAAATAGGGATGTAAATGAACAAATCGTAAAGCGAAATGTTATATAAACATGTTCGAACATGTACATGAATATATTTACGAAAGCTAAACGAACCGAACACAAATAACTTCAAACACGATATTAAAAATTTAAGAGAACACGAACAGAACATGATTGCCTTAAAAATAAACAAACAAATTCGTTTAAGTTCATTTATGCCCCTTATTATAAACTGCATGAACCATCAAAACAAAAGAAATCCAAAACACAAACACCAGCCTATCAACAAACAGAAAAGATTGAAGTTTTTCAGATCCAACAACTCCAGCTAAAGAAAACCCACATCTTAGAATTCATAAATCAATGAAAAGAAACAAAAAGGAAAGTGAGAGCAAAGATTACCACTGGTGAAACAATACCGAAACCCAGCTCTTTCAACAAGCTTAGCACTGAGACCATCAAAACAAGCAGGGCCTTGATGAACCCCAGGCGATTCCAGAATCTGTCGAAGTGTCATTGCAGGCGAACTCCTGTCGCCTAAGCAACAAGTGATGGCTTGGAATCGCTTAGGAGACGTGAACAAAGTGTGGGTCTTTGGCTTTCTTGTGTGGGTGTTGATGACGGGAGATATACAGGAACCATTCTTGAAATTTGAGAGAGGGGATGATTGAGATTGTGGGAAAGGGTGGTTGAAAAGAAAGAGGGTTTGATCTCGGGTAATCACTGATGACGATGATGATGGGTTCATGGTTGAAGGTTGAAAAAAAAAAAAACTGGGAAGTTCACTCAACACTCGCTGTCACACTCTCTTTGCATTTCGTTTTGGTGATGACAAATTGAAAAGGCAGTTTATAGTCACGGAATTTTCTTGGGCAAAAATAAATAAATAATAAACTTATCAATGGCGATTTGATGAGTAAAATATCGTATAGAATCCACATTCAAATATTATTTTTTTATACATTTGATTATGAATGCTTGAGATATTTTGGAATATATATATATATATAATAAAATAGTTATTTTTAAGAAGTCATAAATAATGTTGTTTAATTAAATATCTATTTTCTACCTAAGAACAAGGAAGAGAATTTTGCTCCTAAATAAATATTATGTTAAATATTAATAATGATATGTTATTATATAAATACTTTTAATAGTGAAAATAAATATAGTTTACTAATTTTGTCATACTTTAAGCCAAATTAAAAGATGATTTTTATATTTAAAATTTTATCATTTTAAATTTATTGAATAATCTCAATGATAAAAAGATTATTATACTACTTAAAAGATTCAAGCAACTACAATATCAATAATTAAGAAACTTTTAAATAAATATTATATCGTAATCACTTAAATGTTGAGTCTTCGATTTTTAAAAGTTATAAAATGATCATCTGATTATTCATATATTTTAAACTTGTCTTCTTTTGTAAAAAAAGATTAACAAAAGTTTGAATTGAACGTTAACGTATTTGATTATGATTTGATAAAATATAATCCAAAATCTTAAATCACTATTATATCACAGTCAATGAATTATGTCTAACTCAAATTATCATTAATTTTTTAAATGATAAATTTAAAATACATAAATAGTCAGACATTATTTTATAACTTGTAATCATTATCGAAATTGAATTAAAATGTATTTTATCCTATATTTAAAGAGGCGAATTTCGTTTTTCCTTTTTTGTTTATATTATTTTATCATTTTGTCCCCTGGTTGCCTCTTTGGCAAATTTATGTTTTCTTTTTCCATTTTCCTTTAAAATTCGAAAGGAAAAACCCTTCAAAAATCATCAAATTGCCGTAAAGAACAAACAAACAAATTCTAGAGGAGAAACAGAGAAGATTTTCCAACAGTAAAGAAAGAGAGAAGAAGCCAGGTATTATCATTAATATAATTGGATTTGATTTTTTTCAAAGTCTCTCTATTTTAATCCTTTTTGTTTCGGTTTCGAATCTGTAAAGTTGTGTTGTTTACGTGTGCTTATCTGTCTCCATTGTTTTCTTCAACTATTATTATTATCCCCTTGCTTTCCTCATTATTTTTTCAAATTTAAAGTTGAAGAATTTTCGTTTATCTTTTGAGTTTTTGATTTGTTTTGTGAATTCTCATCGACCCTTTTTGGACTTCGGCCTTAATTTTTCTGGGTTTTCGTTTAATTTTTGATTCGTTTTTGTTTCCATCTTTAATTTCTCTGATGGAAGATGGTTATCTACGACAAGGCTTGGTGGTAAGGCTTAATGGTTCTGTTAGTCTCCTTAAGCTTTTTTTTTTGGTGAATTCGAATGTTGAAGATGTTAACTTGATCGAAAATTCTTTTCATAACATTTGATTAATTAGTTTTAATTAATTCAATTGCATGAGCATTGCCTTTTGATCAGTTGCATGGAATTATTGATTTTCAGCTTGTTCTTCATATATGTTTGTTTCGATTATCATACTTTAATTTGATTTTACTCTATGTTTATTGGATTATTGATGCGTTCTAAAACTTTATGCAGGCACAGACACCTCCTCCTGGCTACTTTGTTCGACTAGAAAATTCGGATGATTTATATTTGAGGAGACGATCGAGGATGCGTAGATGGCTTTGCTGTTCGTGTCTTGTCGAGGAGAGTTATCAACCGCGTGAAAGTGAGCACTTGAAGAGCTCTGATCATGATACAGATGGTATGGTTTGATGCTAACTTGATTTGGTAGTTATTACTTGCCGTTATGAATCTTTTCGCGGTGGGAAATGCACGGTTGTGTTTGTTCGATTGTATGCCTTATTAAATTCTACTTTTTCGAACACCTTATACGAAACTAACTGAAACCACTGAATAGAAATGCAACCTGGACAAGGCATGAGAGCAAAATAACAACTTCCGAGATACCTCATTTATTATTTGAATTTGGAAAATAGTAATCTTTGTGTCTGTTCGGAGAGGGAGGGATATGTGTTTTACTTGCTAAGAATAAGATAAAAAAAATATTTTTAGTTGTCTTTCCATTTTGGTTAAAGTTTTAGTGTACTCAAAAGGAAAAGATCTTTGCATAAATTTTAAGAAAAAGGGCATATGCTGTTCAATATTCTAATATTGTTATATGCTGTACGGTGTATATATGTGTGTGTGTGTGTGTGTTTGCATGCTTCTGTTCTTTCAATGATTTGTTGTTGCTGATGTTTTGTGCTTTCAGGGAATCAAAAGAACTCAAAGGCAGCTGCTCCTGCCAAGCACGAAGTGCAAAAATCAGTACCGCCTATTGAAGTGCCTGCATTATCACTTGAAGAATTGAAAGAAAAGACTGATAATTTTGGATCAAAGGCTTTGATTGGAGAAGGTTCATACGGAAGAGTTTATTATGCAAACTTGGACAATGGAAAAGCTGTGGCTGTGAAAAAGCTTGATGTTTCCTCCGAGGCTGAGTCGGATGCTGAGTTTCTGACCCAGGTGTGTTGGCAATTCAACAGAATGGTCTTTTCTGATTATTTTTCTTGTTCTGATTGATAATGCAATTTTATGTTGTTTAAGCATCTTGTGTTCCCCCTTTCTCTTAGGTTTCAAGGGTTTCAAAATTGAAGCATGACAATTTTGTCGAGTTGCTAGGTTACTGTATTGAAGGAAACAACCGCGTGCTTGCATACGAGTTTGCGACAATGGGATCACTACATGACGTATTGCATGGTTTGTGAAGTCATTTTTTTATGATAGAGATTTGTCGGACGAGATCTTGTTATACAAAATAGACACTATTAGTTTGACTTCTTTCATTCTGGTGATTCTAGGAAGGAAGGGGGTTCAAGGTGCACAACCAGGTCCTGTGCTTGACTGGATGCAAAGGGTAAGAATCGCAGTTGATGCAGCAAGGGGCTTGGAATACTTGCATGAGACGGTTCAGCCCTCTATACACCGAGATATCAGATCTAGCAATATCCTTCTGTTCGATGATTTCCAAGCAAAGATTGCAGATTTTAACCTCTCAAACCAGTCTCCCGACATGGCTGCTCGGCTACATTCCACTCGAGTTTTGGGGACCTTTGGCTATCATGCTCCAGAGTATGCTGTCTAAGCTCCTTTTATGTTATGTTTAATTACGTTCTCGGATAACATCTAGAAAATTATGCATAATTACGTATTGATACAACATTTCCCCCCTAATGACGCCACTTTTTAGACTCCTATATTATTTTCTGCCTCTTTCACGATAGATCCAATGGGCTATATGCGGAGTCCACTATCTGTGTTGTTAGAACTACAGGAATGAATTTATGAATTGTGTGTAGTTTTCTTTTTTATGAATACACCACTATCCCGGAGGTGCTGCGGATATAATCTATGATGTAACAAATTATGATTCCGTTTTTTCCAGGTATGCAATGACTGGACAGTTGACGCAGAAGAGTGATGTGTATAGTTTCGGGGTTGTCCTTCTAGAGCTTTTGACTGGAAGGAAACCTGTCGACCACACAATGCCGCGTGGACAGCAAAGCCTCGTTACCTGGGTGAGTTAATGCTTTCTCTTCTTTCTGTCAATCTGTTCCCTTTTCTTTATCTGGTGTTATGGTGCGTTTTTGTTTTGTTTATATAGTGTTCGACCTTTCGGATGTACTTTTAATGGGACTAACTCTTCAACATTTCTTTTTCCTCGAATTAGGCTACTCCAAGACTGAGTGAAGACAAAGTTAAACAATGTGTAGATCCAAAACTGAAGGGAGAGTATCCTCCTAAAGGAATTGCTAAGGTACTTCTATTGTCCCGTGTCTCCTTAATCTGTTCGAACACCAAAGACATGTAACAGCCGCACCAAACTAGCAATTGACGGTTTTCGTTATGTTTTGTTGATGCAGTTAGCAGCTGTGGCAGCATTGTGCGTGCAATACGAAGTTGAGTTCCGTCCAAACATGAGCATTGTGGTCAAGGCTCTCCAACCACTGTTGAAGGTCCCCGCTCCAGCGCCAGAACTCAAGTCTTAAAATCAGATGAGCCTCGCTCCCTCACCTTTCTTCGAAATTTCCCTAGCCTATGCACAGTTTGGCTTCATCCATTTGAAGATTTCATCGGATCGCTAAAATATTAATCGTATTTCTTTCCTTCCAAACTTTTCAAATATAACATGAACGTTTAGGATCGAGTCCAACCGTGTACCATCGCCAATATGATCTGCCCGTCACCGGTTTTCAGACCTCAAGTTCCAAACTTCCTTTTCGAGTTTTAGTCATCGAAAGAATTGACCAAGGGGTTTAGGTTGTGTGGTGAATATAAATGTTAAATGATTTATATGTTTGCTTGGGATTTTCACTTATTTTGTGCTAAAATGACGAGTTTCTTATTTCTCTAAGGTATGCTTTGATTTGTTATGTTTAAAGTTAATGTACTTTTATATGTAAATCTTCATTGAAAAAGGAAAAAAAATGGTTTTGTGAGTTCCCATAATTATACAATTTTAATGTGAAGGTTATATTTTTTTCATGTAAAATGTTTTATGAAAAACATTTTTTTGTTTGTTTCAGTGTTTTTTTTAATTAAAAGCTTAGGTAGGTTAGTTCTCCGAGTTCATGGTCAGGGCATACCAAGATTCAAATGAGATTTATATAGAAATTTACAGATTATCCACTAAGAGTGACGGTGACAGAATTCGAATTTAATTGAAAGTGTGTCTAGAACATTAGTCTAAATCTGAGACGGTAATAGCTATCGGAGCGGCAGAGGAATCACGAGCGAGAAGATCAATGACTTGGAGATGAGGAGAAACATACTGCATGAGATCAAAGTGAGTTGCTGGGGCGAGCTTGGCAAGACGGTTGGGCACAGAATTACTACAACGTTAAATCCGTTGGAAACTTATCTCCCATGCACACATGCATAAACATGCAATTGCTCGAACAATAGGGATGTGGCTCCGAATAGCATTTATTTCGCTCAACATATTCATCGTCTGAGAATTATCCGACTGGAGTCACTGGACCATCATTCTTGTGAAGCTAGAATTTTTGGCAGTAGTAAGTTCAGTATATATCCCTCATAGCTCGATCGGCTTGAAGAACCGAGCTTATCCCAATGTTTTTACTTAAACCAACCATTCGAATCATGGATAGCACCACCAATAGATCCTCCTCCAGTGGACAAGGGCACAGCTCCATCTGAATTCAAACACATCCAGCTTGCAGGAGGTTTGCTCCACAATGTCTGTTGGGTCTCATGGGTCCTACAAGACTTTGGTATGTAGTTGGCATAGTATTTTTCCCAAACGGTACATCGACGAAGGAACACATCACTGGACCGAATAATATCGAAGAAGACAAACTCCTTTCATTGTTTTCAAAGCTGTCAAATGACCGAGATAAACAGGGAAGATCAAGAAAAGTCTCATTATTCAAAGTATTTGCCTGCTTGAGGTTGTTCACAATCCAGGCTCGAAGATCCCATGTAAAGAACTGAGAACTTAAAGTTGGAGGGATAACCCTGTCCCAAACTTGAACAGAGTCACGAAGAACATGGATAACCGTCTCAAGGTATGTGCCACAAGAAGGGCAAGCTAGGTTGTCTGTTAGCATGTGCTTATTTCGTTCACAATTCGTCATTATTTTCTCCTTGAGAGCAAGCCAGAAGAATAACTGATTCTTTGAGGGGCTTGAATTCTCCACATGAATTTTCAAGTGTTATCAACCATATCCCAGTCGTTTTCAAGTTGATTGGTGTAAGTTAATTTGACCTGAAACTGGAGATCCTTGCTCCAACGTCATACAATTTGGTCTGGGATGTCGTTCGGGTTCAGAGGTTTGATATTCAAGATATGATCAATCACAGTTGGGTTCACTGTAAAGGTAAGACCAGCAACATCCCAATGACCATTTGCATCCCAAAAAAGGGTCCGATGAAGGTCCTAGTCAAGAGAAGGGTCCTGAATAGCATGATCCCTTAGAGGACCTAAAGTCGGGATCCATTTATCATCCCAAAATCTGATGATAGAACCATTACCAATCGTCCAAGCAAGGTTGGTTTTTAAACCATTCCAGAATTTAGCAATACCGTGCCATAAATAAGAACAGCACTGACGGTTGATGGAATCTGGACAAGCATCAAAACTTTATATTTTTGCTTTAGTAAACGCACCAAGTAAGCATCATAATCGGTGAGTAAAGAGTAGCCTAGCTTCACGAGGAAGACTCTGTTCTGCTCGAAGGGGAGAATGATACCGAATGATACCGAGTCCTCCTCCTTTGATCGGTTGACAAACTATGTTCCAACGAACCAAAGAGACCTTGCTATTTGTCTGGGTGGTGCCCCAAATAAAGCATCTTATTTACGTGTCAGGGTAGCTTTTCTTCGGAAAGCCCAGGGTTTGCATGGAATACACCGGTATGATCGATAAAACAGATTTGTAGAGAGTGAGACGACCTGCCATTGAGAGAGTCTTGCTAGCCCAACCAGAAAGATTGCCACAGATTTTATCAGTGATAAAAGTAAAGTCTTGCTCTACCAGTGAGCATTGAGATTCCAAGATACTTCCCGATAGCATCAACCTCCTGAAAACCCAAAGTCGAGCTGATGGTGTTTCTTGTGTGTAAATCAGTGTTCGGGGAGATGATTGGATTTATGTTGTGACGAAAGTGATACAATGCAAGATGATGCGACTAAAATTGTTTGGAAAACCAGCTTCAGTGATCCAGTTCTGAATGAAATCTCACCCGATACTATCAGACGTTTTTTCAAGCTCAACTTTTATTGTAACCTTGTTTACCCTTCAGGCTACGCATAGGGTGGACGATTTACTTATTGATGTTTATTAGTCTTGAGTTTTTAATCATTTGATAATAAACGTTTATACATTTCTGTAGACGTCGTGTTCGAGACTGAAACCTCAATAAATAATAATATGATCACTTAATTCGTGCAGTTTGATTAGATAACTAATAACAACGGATGACATGAAAATGTATTAAACTTTAGTGATTTTACTTTACTAGAAAAATAAGTGATTTTAATGTTAGTTTTAAAATTTTATTAATTATAATAAAAATATTTTAAAGGTTTAATGATCATAATAAAAGCGTTCTAAACATTTGGCAACTTATTAGTGTAATTTACCCTTTCTTTGAATATCTACATTAGGATGATAGACGGATAAGGGGCCTCATCCTCATACCCATCTAATAGTTTTGTATTTACTATATATTCACTACATGCGACGGATAAAATATTTATATTCACACCCGCACATGTGATTACATTCTCAAATCCACCCCACACTCACTACTAGGGGTGTAAACGAGCCGAGTCGAGCTCGAGTATTGCTGAGCTCGACTCGACTCGAAAATTCGCGAGCTTAAAATTTTTAAGCTCGACTCGAACTCGAAATCTTGAACTGAAGCTCGTGAGCAGCTCGAAAAGGCTCGAAATAAAAAAAAATCTTAAACTTATCTAGATTGAATCCTCAAACTCGAACCTGAACCTTAAATACATGAAAGTCTTACTGTATTTTAAAAAAAATCAACACATGAATGTTAATATTATTAATATTTAAAAAATCTTAATATATTATATTTTCAAGCTGCTCACGAGCTTTTCGAGTCGAGTATCAAGTAGCTCGTTTTAGCTCGTTAAGAATTCGAGTCGAGTCCATTCGATCCGAGTATTTATAGAGCTTTGACCGAGTCAATCTCAAGTAGCTCGCGATTTGTCTCGTCTCATTTACTGCCCTACTCACTACTCAATTGAATACCTACCTCCCATCTTGTACTCGTCTATATCCACTCATATCCACCTGACGGCAACTTCAATTCTAAAGATTGAAAATTTAAGATAAGAGAAGCGACATTATTCAATTGTAAAATTGTTTATATCCTAACATTTAGTTAAATTATAAGTCATGTCCTATAAAATCTTAATATTTACACAATAGTCTATGAAATTATACATAAATTCATAAATGGTCCAAATTTTATATGGTGGATAGTTAGTGGGTGGACAGATTCGAGGTGGGCATATGTGTTACATGTGAAGTCTCAAACACATCACCTACCACTATCCATAACGAGTATAACTTTTTACATCTACATCCGTCCATTACCCATTAAACTTATACCCATCTTCGACCCAACTCGAATAGATGCAGTGTGAAATCCATAAAATTGTACCCGTATGACATCCCTAATTTAAATATTTTTATAATTGAATTAAGGGTAAATAACATATTTAGTTCCTAAACTATCAATTTTGGTCTATTTAGTACCTAAAATTTCTTTTTTTTAAAATCATACCAAAAGTTTAGTTTTTATTTCATTTTAGTACCCCGTTCAAAATTTAACGTTAAGTTTTAAAAAAATTGAAAGTTTAGGTATTAAAATAGATTAAAACTAATAGTTTAGGTACTAAATGCATTAAGTTTTTAACGACATGTACTAAAATAAAATGAAAACTAAACATGGGCTATGATTTTGAAAAACTTTAAAGGAAAGGTTCTAAAATAGATTAAAACTGATAGTTTATGTATTAAATTCATAGTTTAGCCTTGAATTAAATGAAATGTATTTATAGCGCCAAATTCCCGTGTTTAGGGGAATTCAATGGCGAGCGAGAATGCGTTTTATTGATTCGGACGGTGGGGAGAGAAAGCGAGAGCCGCATGCTTCGGATTGGATTTTCGCACCCCAAAAACCATGCCTCGCCACGCCACTTTCTCTCATTTCATTTCTTACCCCAAATTCTTCTTCTTCTTTTGTTTCTCTTTGGTTTCATTTTCCTCTCGCACCATCCATACAAGGCCTTGCAGTATTAGGTTCTGGGATGGTGTCGGAGGATAACTTGAACTCGGTTTCCATGGAAGACGATTTTGACGGCGGTGATTACAGCGGCGGTTACGACGACGACGAAGACTACGATGATTACGGTGGCTACGGCGATGACGACGACGATGAGGGTCAAGGTTTGCTTGAAGAAGACGACGCCGATGATTCAGGCGCCGTTGCTTCTCGGCGTCCCAAGGTAATCTCTGTCTTTCAGTTCCGCGATAGAAGAGAATGCTTTCTTTTTGATAATTAAGCTTGTCCATATTCTAGCTCGAGCTCGAGCTAAAATTAAATATCTTGTGCATATAAAACCACCAATTACTTTAGAAGAAATCAAATCAACGTTTGAGACACTTAAATAATTATATATATTTCTAAAAAAATAAAGTTATCAAACCTGCAGCACCTTTATAGATAGCTAGACCTTTTTTTTTTGAAAAAACAATGCTTGGATGATATTTAATTATATTAAGCTTCTTTTTAGCATGCAACTTAATCATTACACTGAACATGGGGGACGCCATCTTCAAGAAAACCGTGATCCTCATCGCCATCGAGATCAATATATAAAACTCAAAGAGATAAAGATGCATTGTAGCTTGAAATATAAGACTCAAAAGAAATTGGTCACCTAAATGGAATCGTCAAAGTTATTGTGATTGGAGCTTCGTGAGTGGTGGCTTTCGGGAAGCAATCAAAGTATAGGGAAAAAATTGGTTACCTGAATGAAAGGTTATGTTGGCTGGAGTGATGAGCAGCTGGGGAAAGAGGGTTTGAAATTAAGTCAGGGTAAATAATATATGGTGAGGGTAATTGTGTCCCCTAAAAATAGAAAAATACTTAAAATATATATTAATTAGAAAGCTTGATTAGGCTCGTGAGCTGCTCAAGCTGAGTATTATGATGCTTGGACTCAGCTTGATCGATAGCTCAAGCTGCTAAATCTCGACTTGATAATTATCTAATCAAATTCTAGTTTCTTTCGAGTCGAACTCAAATAGCTTGTGAATACTAGTGTTTCATTTTTGAATGATTTGGTTATTAAAGAGGCAGTGATTGTCTTGAGGGGTTTCCACTTGCCATTACTGGTGTTCCTGATTTTTATTTAATTTCATTGAATTTGAACTTAAATAGTTTATTAAGTCGGTTCTTTATTACATTTTGATTTCTTCATGATGAATCCAAGAAACAATTGGATGAAACAGTTACTCCATGTCATAGGGTCGAGGTCTAAAACTTTTGGGTTTATGTTAATGATGAATAGAACCTGAAAGTGGGTTTTTGTTTCTTGCTCTCTGTATTCTTATGGTAATAGTGGAATTGCTAGCTTCAAATATTCGAAGCTTGGAAGATCAAAAACATTAGGCATTGAATTTTATACAAGTGTTTCCTGCATTATTACCGTTATTAACACGCTTTTGTTTCCTATTTCAGCAAGGTTACACTGTTTTGAAAGAAGCAGATATAAAACAATGACAAGAAGATGATATTTCTAAAGTTTCAACTGTTCTTTCATTACCGAAAGTTAAGGCAACCATTTTGCTCCATCGCTATAATTGGTAATATTGAGGTTTCAATATCAAGTGTGTGCATTTCTTCGATTTAAGCCTTAGTTTACATACACCATTTTAAGCCATCCTTTTTTTTATTTAACATAGCAAGTAAGCTATTTGGTTTTGGTGAAAAGATAGCTGTGGCTGCTTTACCGTGATACAATTTTCATGCGTTAGGCTGTTCACTTGTTCATATAGATTTTTTAGTTTGTTTCCAACATACGGTTGGTTATGTAGGAA